AAATAGGTCTCCTGTGTCAGACTTCTTGTTAATAACGCATCGCAAGACATAAGAAATAGATTCTTCGCGGTCATGTATTTAATAGCACGTTTGGTACACTATCCGTGCCATATCTGTCGTATCCGGCGCAAGATGCACATAAGACAAAGACAGTTGTGCGATAGTGAGAGGTGTATGGTTTGCAGCCGTTGCTGGTACCGGGGCTTGGACTACTGGGATTGCCACGACTAATGCCAACAGTGCCGGTACCGCTAGACGTCGTCATTCGGTAGCGAGTCATCCTCATTCCGTCAATAATTCCCAATCCGTTCATGTCACAACAGCAACAAATGCAACTATGACTACCACCACTGTCACTACCACCACCATCACTGCAACCACCACTACCATCACTACCACCATCACTGCGACCGTCACCGCGACGATCACCACAACCACAACCGCGACAATATCCCATCAGAGAACCTTGTCGCTGCCCTTAGCTGCCGTTATTATCAATCAAACGCAACCATCTAAAAGATCCGTTTTACGGTGTATGTATTTCGTTCTGTCACATTTGTTTAATCGATCCCAATATCTGTTTTATCCTTCAGTGTTTCTGCAGTATGCTTGTTAATGCTCTTTTTGTTATCCGCATCCGGACCTTTCAAAAGTGTAAAAACCGATTGATCAATGTTATGTTTGTCCAATATGAGATCATAGTTATCACAGCTGTAAAATTTTGCTGGCATGCTATTAAATGCACGACATATTATAAAACAAATGCTTTAGTTTTGTATCTTCTGTTTCCTCGTTATTGAATATAAGGAATGAATACGTATATTTCTTCTGAATGCTCCATAGTGTTGATACTTGGGTATAATGATTTTTGCAAATTGGTTATTACAAACCTTATTTGCTTTATTTAATTTTATTATACATAACTCGTGAGTTCTGCGGATGCAGAACATTTGACAAAATGACTGTAATCACTGTCTATTGCTTGACTTTAAAAAAAGCAATATATATATATATATATATATTTAACAATAAACAATGTTATGTACATATATAATAATTTATACATGCGAACATAAAACTAACCGCTGTTGCTATGCTGGGACGATAGTACTGGCTTCTTTTCTACTGTACGCGAATGAGATTGTTTCGAAGAGAGATTTCTGACGAATATGTTTGCAGGTGCTACTGGACGTGATCGATGTGATAGTTTACCATCGAGGGCTCGTACCACTAGTGAGGGACAACCCGCTACGGTCGTGTTAAGCCATCCTAGAGGAGCCCATATCATGTCACACATACCGCGACCACATTCCATGTGTGGACGAGGCCTTTCATATTCTCCACCAATCGCATCGATGCCTATTAGTCCATCTTCCGATGTCTGTTCATCGGATTCAGCCGGATCATCACCCTCGATGGATGATTGCGGTGAAAATATTATGGAGGAAAGTACTGTCTCGAGATATGGGCATTCCTTAACGCCGGATGAGCCCATGATCTTGGACAAGAAAGGTGACGATTACGCCCTATGGTCGACGTCGCATCCGCATCTGAAATACTCGCCAAACTTTAAATCTCATTCGCCCTCTCAGGTAAGTATACTTGTGATATTGTTTCTTTATTTTTTAATAAATTTACAAAAAAGAAAAGGATTGTAAACTATTTTTTTATGTATTAATAAAATTTAACATTATTTTATGACACTTTCTAAACAAAATGATATTTAGTTTAAATGAAGTAATACCAATTTTGTTTCGTACATAATGTATTTTAATTATTTTAATTTTAACTAATTTTTTGTTTTATTTGCAGAGTTCCTACCAGAGTGAAATGTATAGCCCATGTGGTTCGAGTCCGGGCCGCGGGGGTGCATACATGCCCATGAGTCCAGCAACGACAGCTCACTCGCATTCTCGCGGATCATCTCTTGTGGAGGAAAGCAATGTGGACGGCTATGTACCGATGGCGCCAGTCGGAGATGATGGCTACGTTGACATGGATCCTGTAAATAGTCACAACGGTCATTTCCCGGACGATATGTCACAGAACGATGGCAGTAGCTGTTCTGTTACGTCTGGCACACCTAGTACGGATCTGCGATTTTCCGAGTATCATCTGGATAAGGTCACCAGTTTTTTAACACCCGGAGAGGATCTGCAAGCCAGACCAACTAGGGCTTACTCCGTCGGATCCAGACCGGAACAGGCCAATAGACATCGTAAAAACAGGTATAAACTTTATAGAGAATTTAGTTAGAATTTAATTAAAAATATTGATTAAAAATTTTATTCTTAACATCATTTGTTTATATTTATTGATGTACATTTATATCTTTATTTATATAATCTATAAAAAATTATATTAATTTTAATTAAAACTTTGATATTAATTTTAACGTTTATTATGTCTATTGAAGATTTTGTAAAGCTGAAATTGTTTCACCAACATAATTATAATTACTTTTATAGGGAAATAAATATGTTTATTATTTTTCTACATCTCGGCCCTATATTGATTTTATACTATTGATCAGATAAAATGTAAAGTTTTGCAAAATTTCCTGTAGTAATTGCATACGAAATCTAAGAGAATATTTTAATTGTTTGAGCTGTTTAAACATTGTTAAAGATGTTATTAATCGGGAATAATATAAATGAGATTTCTAACTTTATTATGTCATTTTTTATGCAGGTTGGATATAACTCCGCAAGACGCCAACAGAGTGCGAGCATTTTCTGTAGGTAGCCGATCGAAGAGGCCCGAGATCGGAAGGTTAGCCAATGTGATCACTGCGCCGTTACCAGCCGGTTCGGATACCTCGAATTCAAAATCGAGTTCCGCGCCATTATTATCGAGCTCTTGGGGACACAACTCGGGGTGCTCTGGAGCATCCGATCGTATGGGGGATCTCATGGAATTGGATTTTACGAGGCCCAGTATTCCGACTGCTCTCTCCTCGCCTCCATTATCCTGTTCCCAGTCTCAGTCACAACCGCAACCGTACTCTACTTACTCTACTGCCACCGATGCTAGTTCCTATGTCGACATGTCGCCCGGACAAGCTCCCGTATCGACCACTGCCGCATATGTCGATATGAGTGGCATAAATAAGGTATTATCGATATGCCGATGTCTATCTTGTTGATGTAACTGCCATACAATCGGTGTTAAGCAATAATAAAATTCTTTTTTTACAGATCAATCGCAATAACAATAATAATACAATCACTGCCAACCACAATCATAGCCACATGCATATATCGTCGTTAACTTTCGCCCATAAACCTGTAATTACAACTTTGAAGCCGGTAGAGGAAGCGGAAGGACCTTACATGAAGATGGACGGTACAATAGAGGATTGGACGCATTCGGAAGCGAGTCCAAAACAAGTGTCATCGCCTGTTCAAGAAGATATCTATCAAACAAACGGGCCACCAGGTACTGGCCCATAAAAAATAAAATTTATTTACGATATTAAATTAGTATAATAAAAAAATAATAATTGCGGAAATTATTATGAATATTTAGGTAGCACAAGAACGGCACCGGTAGATCTTCCACAACCGAGGCGTCCTCCAGAGGGCTATGTCGAGATGTCTTTTAAGGCGCGGCCGAGTTTAGAGCAAGACTACATAAATATGACCATGGGAAACAATCGAAACAATCGTAAAACACGAACGGACAGTCGCAAGGAAAAATCGCGATCGCAACCTATCGCGATTCAGGCAGGCAGTAAGCCGACTAAAACTCCAAACTTTCTACCTTTGAATGGAAGTCCGACATCCGAGAGTCTGGCGAGTACACCCGCTTCTCCGCCACGAGCAACGCCTACAGGTTCATCGGCCACTATCTTTCCATTCTCCCTGAATAGTCCTCAGTCACCCGTGAAGCCTTTTACGAAGAAAAATGATGAATTCTCCACGACAGATGTTTCTAACCAAAATCAGAACAACGCTGAATACGCTGTGATGGAACCCGCGAAGATGGTTTGCGCGTCGTGTTCTACCCCGTTGACAGAAATAAAGCCTTCGTCGAAGGAGAATAACGAGAAGCCACCTAGTCCTGTAGAGAAGAATGCTCGTGTTCTATTTAAATCTTCGTCATCACAAGAACACGGTAAGCCCATTAATGTAATAACGAAAAAACTTTCGGATCTAACGGTGTCGAAACCACGACTCGTCACGGCCTCACCAAACACCAGTCCCACCCTGACGGGTTTCAAGCCATCGACCGTGCAACAGCCGAAACCATCCTCGCCGAAGTTCATCGATGAGACACCCACGCCTACGCCCACGTCTACACCTACGCCCACGCCGAGTCCGTTGGACAGCGAAGGCTACGAGAAACTTCAACCGGGCGCGGCAATACTGCATTACGCTAGTCTTGATTTACCGGATAATCCAGCGCCCGTGTCGCCAGCGTCTATGCAGGAGAATTTCACTTATGCCGAAATCGACTTCGCGAAACTCGCAGACAAGCAGACCTAAGATATGCGTTATTCTAAATGCGCATATTTCGCCATCCTCGTATCATGCACCAGGCAGCGTGACAATGGAGGATGACTTGGCTGACGCCTCTTGTGTTCCCCACGATAGCAACGAGTAGGCAGGGTATAATCGATCGTTCTGACATTGGCTCGGCTGGTCTAATGAACAAGGCGCCGGGTAGAAACTGTATATATAATTCATTTCTTTTTCTCTCCAGCCTAATGGCATTATATCGCTCGCCAGTCTTTCTAGTATATGGATTGGCAGCCTATTTTAAATCGTTTGAAAAATAAGCATCGTTGGTACCTATAGTTCTGGTTGTACTGCATTAATATCGTATTTTATCGGAATGATGTGAAATTTTTTAATATAAATGAGATAATTTTTGTCGCTGATTCCGCAGAGAGTCTTCAAATCTGTCCACATATGCTATTTCTAATATCAAACGATTGATAAAATTTAACAGGAAAGAGCAAACTACGAGAAAATGTTATCTTTTACTTAATTAAATAATATATTTGTGTTATAATTGGTCAGTAGAAAAAAGGAATTTCTTGAAATTAGTTGTATCATCTAGTTAAACGAGAATTGTTGTTTGTAAAAATGTATAAACTTTTTAAATTTTAATTCTATTAGTGGATTTGTGTGTTATCTTTCAAAATTTATTTTGTTTTGTATTATATATTTCCAGATGCTGACAAGCCAAATATATATAAGTCAATTCTTTTTGTGAGATATATATATATAGAGATACATATACACAACACACCAAATTTAACTTGTATATTTTATAATAATCTCCCAATGATATCTGACGACGGAATTTATATATATTTATATGATATTGTTTCGGGGAGGTGAAAAGTTAGTAGAAAGGTGCGCTGATAAACAACATAAATTGTATTATTTTCCGGTATACGGTATAAATTTTAATGATGTATCTTTTATTTGCGCGTTGTAAATTCTATTGAATTTGATTCTTCGAAATCTTAGCATCATTGGTTTTGTACAGGAAATAGCATGTTATTATATCTATCATGTTTGCGCTTACTTGTACCCTGACGTTTTAGAACGACCAAATTGTCGGATTCGAGTATATTCGAGTACATCATTTTTTAATTTTAAACAGTAATCATATATACACGTGTATAAACTTTTGCGCCTTTGTGTGACATGAAATATCGGCTTCTATTTTAAACGTTTTACCTTTATCTGAGATCTTTGGACAATTTAATGAGACCTTAAGTAACGGAATCTGCGAAGTCTTTTAGACGTAAGAAATCATGAATTTGCAATTTTTATATATAATAAAAAAAAAAAGGGAAAAAAAGAAAAGAAAATATCTAAGTTCTAAGTCTATTCTCGCACAGAATTATACACCGACGGCGGCCTGTCGGTCTTTCTCAAAACGAACAAAAATTCTCATAATACCAACGAAACCGTGCTTTTTAGACGTTGCGACTAAACCCATTGATATCAGCGCTAATTGGAATGAAAATAAACCGAGAAATTGAGATATCGATAAGCTTTAGGAAGCTTACGATTCTATCGCATAGAATACGGTAGTGTGTAACAGTACACTACCAGAAACATAAGTACTGAAAGAGAAACGCGATGGACTTGTCTTCTTCGTGATATCTTCGATATTGCAAACCGGATGAAATTCCGCAGAGCGACAGAAACCGACCGATTGGGAAATCCATCCGTGCGTCTCCTCTGTGCCGAATTTGATTTGGGTCCGACTGTCCCCACGCGAAAGAATGTTACCCGCCAATGTTAGATCGACATCTCTCTCATAGAATTCGTATTCGCAGATACAAAATAGATGTTCCGTACAATGGCAGTATACATGTGTTATAATGCTTTTCATATAAATTATGAGGGGTCGAAGCGCCTCGAGAGGAGCTGATTCGACTGCGTACACAATACACTTATTACATACGTACACACATATACATACAGTCGCATACACGTATACATATATGCATGTTCCTTCTGCAGGATATTCTGTGAAAACGGTACAACCGGCGACGTGCCGGGGGGACGGTACAAAGAAG